AAACCCTAAACCAAAAAAGATCAAAACAAACTTATGTTCACTCATTTATGTCGAAAACAATTCAATTTTATTAAATCTAAATTTATATCATTTACAAAGGTCTATAATTAGATGATTATGATTTTTCCCCTATCAAAATAATTTTCATGAAATTTATAAATTATTTTAAGAACTAATACACTATAAGACTTTCAGTGGACTTAAGGAAGATTTATTGGAAGACTTAATTTTAGGCGGAAAACCTAAATTATCTTAACATTTAAGCGTGAAAATGTTGTTAAGTCGTCCAATAAGTCTTCTTGTGCATTATATCTTCGAAAAATTAAGTCTTCCAAAACCCGGAAATCAAATATATATATATATATGAATAAATGACATACAAAAACTTTATTAAACCTAAATTAAACTTATAAAGTGTTTTATCTACACAAAACTTAACACATATAGCTAAAACTTACTTTAAAAAATAAATATTAAGATTCCCTAATCTAACCCTAAAACATATACAATACTACAATATAGTTACCATACCTTAAACCAAAGAATATCATGACTAACTTACATTCATTGATCTATTTTGAAAAAAAAAAAATTTATTAAATCTAAGTTTATATCATTTACAAATGCTTATAATTAGATGAGTATAATTTTACCCATATCAAAATACTTTTTATGAAATTTATAAATTATTTTTTAGATCTACATCTTGAGAAGACTTTCAGGTAAATTTGCTCATGAGAAGACTACAATTCTGTTTTTTTGTTTGGTCATGAAGGGATGTTTGTAATTTCACTAGACTTTTGAGTTACTTTTGCATTTAATTTGAAGTGGTATACACTTTGCATTTAAAGTAAAATTTTGAATCATATTTGGCAAATCCCCCTTAAAACTATATATGGTTACACATACATTCGATAAAGAGTTGCATATATTTCTGAATTAATATAGAACTGACAAAGAATAGTATATACTTAAGATAAGATTTATAAAAAAAAAAAATATGGTTGCTGAAGAAATAAAACATTTATAATAGAAGTACAGTATGTTCTTTATCATATGACGATTTTTTTTTAATTATTTATCAATACTTTTTGCAGTTTTTATTAATTTTTAAAAATCAAGTTATGTTATAGGTATAAGAATATTATAAATTTTCAGTTGCATTTTAAAAATGATTGATTATATTATTAAAAATATATAAGAAATAAGATTGAAGGGGGGAGAAATAAACAGAAATAAATACGATATATATTGTATAATGATGAAAGATATTCTTTCAGTTAGTAAATCATAATTTTTTGATCAATATAGGATACATTTTCTTCTAAATCATATCCATAGCTGTTTAACGAATCTGTTTCATTTATGCAAATATCTTAAACTTGGCAACAAATCGAGCATTTTAATTCCACAAAAGCAGTATAAATACTTTATTACATAAGACATGTCAAATAGTATCTAAAGAAAAAAAAGATTTATTCATTCTAAGACTATTGAAACCATGAAAACAGGCTTAACCATCTTGCAGCTGTCCTTTTGCCTCAGCCTAATCGTGGTTGTATCCCTATCTATGGGGATGCGTCCAGAAACATGTGACCACTACGAGTGTCCAACCTATGAAATGGCAGAATCCAGAAATGGCTACGAGATTCGTGTGTATAAATCTGCGGTCTGGATGTCCACTGGGCCTATCACTGCCCCATCCATGACTGAAGCCTCCAAAACCGGTTTCCAACGGTAATTTATAATTTTCAATCTAATCTTTGTTTTTTTTTTTTTGACAAAGGGTTTCAATCTAATTTTTGTTATTTAAAAGTATCCTATAACTGGACTGTGAACTACCGTATAAGCATTTACCTGTAAAGTTTTATACGGAATATGTACGTTAAATATCTTGCAAAGGAAATAGAATTTAGTAAAAAAATTTGTCGTCATTAAGTAATTAAGTAATAAATCCAAAATAAATATAAATACTATTTATATATGTGGGATATATTTAAATATAAAGGTGCAGTAACTAGAACTTTGATTGAAATAGAATGTTGACTTTTAAATAGTTTTATTCCGTTTTCTGTATAGATGAAAACAGTAACAAAAATAAGATTTCATTTTCTTGCGGTTTCTACGTTTCGTTAAAGTAATGCACGTGATGTCAGTATCCTATTTAATTATCTTGAATCGAAACTGATTTTATTTCTTATCGGTGGGGTGAGAGTACAGACTATTTCGTTACATACAAGGAGATAACAAGAGCAAGACAAAGATGAACATGACAGCTCCGGTTATCACACAAAAACCACCCGGTAAATCAGTCTACACTGTCTCTTTCTACCTCCCAAAGAAGAACCAACAAAACCCACCTTTGGCCGATGACCTCCACGTGCAGACATGGAAACCTACTAGTCGGGAGGCTCCTAATTCGCCTGCTGGCGAACTAAGGCAGCTCGGCTTAGTTCGCCAGCAGGCGAACTAGTCACGACTAGTTCGCGTTTTGCGGCGGTTTCGGTTTTTCGCGATTTTGTAAAATGATTCTCGAGTTTTATAAAATGATTCTCGAGTTTTATAAAACGATTCTTCGAGTTTTTATAAAACGATCTTCGAGTTTTATAAAATGATTCTCGAGTTTTATAAAATGATTCTCGAGTTTTATAAAACGATTCTCGAGTTTTATAAAACGATTCTCGAGTTTTATAAAACGATTCTTGAGTTTTATAAAACGATTCTCGAGTTTTATAAAACGATTCTCGAGTTTTATAAAACGATTCTCGAGTTTTACAAAACGATTCTTCGAGTTTTATAAAACGATTGTCGAGTTTTATAAAAGGATTCTTCGTGTTTTATAAAAAGATTCTCGAGTTTTATAAAACGATTCTCGAGTTTTATAAAACGATTCTTCGAGTTTTATAAAACGATTCTCGAGTTTTATAAAACGATCTTCGAGTTTTATAAAACGATTCTTGAGTTTTCTAAAATGATTCTCGAGTTTTATAAAACGATTCTCGAGTTTTATAAAATGATTCTCGAGTTTTATAAAACGATTCTCGAGTTTTAAAAAACGATTCTCGAGTTTTATAAAATGATTCTCGACTTTATAAAACGGTCTTCGAGTTTTATAAAACGATTCTCGAGTTTTATAAAACGGTCTTCGAGTTTTATAAAACGATTCTCGAGTTTTATAAAACAATTCTTCGAGTTTTATAAAACGATTCTCGAGTTTTATAAAACGATTCTTCGAGTTTTATAAAACGATTCTTAAGTTTTATAAAACGATTCTCGAGTTCTATAAAACGATTCTTCGAGTTTTATAAAACGATTCTTCGAGTTTTATAAAACGATTCTTCGAGGTTTATAAAACGATTTCTTTTATATTTTCTGCGAAGACTTTTTGCCATTGATTCCGTTGTGACCGATTTTGACACCAACAGTTAGCCCCCCAGCTCGCTAGAATCTTGAGCCTTTAGCGTAAGGTTCTTGCGAGTG